GGGCAGAATATTGTTCCTGTTAGTGTTTAGTGTGAGATGATAGTAAATATTCCCTTTCTTTCTCCATCAACGTTACCTGATAGTAAACTAACTTTAGGCAAACCAGCAGCACAACAAATATTTTCAAATAAGACTCACAAACCTGAGTCAAAACCAGTCTCATCAAAGCTGGGGTCCTGTTGCGGTATTTTTGGTCCAAAAACGTCCTTATGTCCATCTTCACTCATGCGTTTCAGGCAGAGTGTAGAAAAAAACAGGCACTGCAGAAGAAGCCGGCTGCTGAAGGGCTTCTTCAGTGGTGGAGGCTCAGGCAGGCTGTGTACAAACTACTGCTAGCTGCGCCCTCTCTGTTGGACTTTGGTACTGCATGTTACTTCCACGTTTGATATCTGGGGCTTTTCATTAAAGATTCGGGGCTTCAGCCCAAGTAGCCGGGCCTAACGCCACCCCTGTGGTGAACACAGTTCGACGCCAGATGATTACTACGACTTGGTAGTGCCCAGCCCTAGCTCTAGCTCTCTTGGTTTCTCGTGATTAGTCTCAGTGTAGTTTTGGCTCTTGTATGTTTTTGGACCTTGTGTAATCTTTGTATTTTTGGACTCACCCACCTCAGGCTCTTCGCTCATCTGGAACTACTCACTCGAACTCCATAGGACTCCTGGACTCCGCATTCAGCCACGTTCATCATCCTCCTCAAAGACCGTCCCGCTAACACTCTCAAGCCCTGCGCTCACTCTCCAGCTCAGGAGATCTCCCTTCTGGATCATCCCCGGCTCTCTACCTCCCCTCATTACCCAAACCAGATCATCTCCCGTAAGTTCCCTCTCAGTGTTTCTGCCTCGACTGTTTATCTCCTGGACTCACCTCTGGTTTGCTCTCCCTCTTCCCCTGATCCGCTGGAATTCTCAGCGCGCCCTAAGTTCCCCTTTAATAATAAATTCTGTTTTACTTACCTTCATTCTGTGTATGGAGTTGTGATTCTGCATGTCTGGGGTTAGACTCATGCCAAAAACCATGACACTTATCTTTAGCAGTGAAGCGTGTTGCTTCTGGGATAGGCCTGAAAATTCCCATGTCGCTGCTAAATAACCCCATAGAATATGATGGATGAATTTTAAGCAGTGACATTCCTCTGCCGTTCCGTGCCACTGATGTTTCCAGTGTGAAGTACACTGTCAATCCAAATTGTTGAAAATATTCAAATATTTTGAGTAGGTGAAACTCATAATAATAAAAATAATAATGTGTTTAGTTAGTTCAGCCTTTTATTTGTTTTAAGTGCATAGAACTCAAACGTTTGAATTAAACTGAACTATTTCCTTTTTTATTAAGCGTAACCTAAATAAATTAATAATGAACAACTTAACTGGAATGAGTAAACATAACTAATAAGTGATGAATTTATAATTTTATGCTCAATTTTTTTCCCTCTTCACGTCACCTGAAAGTGTGTTTGATAAACAGACTTAAATATTTTTTTTTTTATATTTGTTCTTAATTATTACTTTGTTCAGTGTTGCAAATGTGGTGTTACTTGTTGTGCCATGTTGGCACCATAAATGAAGAGTTTGGTCAAGGGAATGACCACGCTGTGATGTTCCTCTATTAATAACGATTTGGTGGTTTATGCCAAGTCCTCTGGACTTGGCTTTGGGCAACCATGGGTGTGTGAGGCATTCAGTGTTTGTGTTAGTTTCCACCTTCACTCTTCACCTGCCTGCCACTGTGCTTTATTAAGTAAATTCAACTTATCTGGGTTAACAGTAGCATTGTTAAAAGTATTTTATATTTTGATATACAGGTGCTGGCCAGTAAATTAGAATATCATCAAAAGGTTGAAAATATTTCAGTAATTCCATTCAAAACGTGAAACTTGTACATTATATTCATGCAATGCACACAGACCAATGTATTTCCAATGTTTATTACGTTTAATTTTGATATTTATAGGTGACAACCAATGAAAACATCAAATCTGGTATCTCAGAAAATTAGAATATTCTAAAGGCCAATGAAAAAATGTTTGTTTCTCTAATGTTGGCCAACTGAAAAGAATGAACATGAAAAGAATGTGCATGTATAGCACTCAATACTTAGTCGGGGCTCCTTTTGCCTCAATAACTGCAGTAATGCGGCGTGGCATGGACTCGATCAGTCTGTGGCACTGCTCAGGTGTTATGAGAGCCCAGGTTGCTCTGATAGTCGTCTTCAGCTCCTCTGCATTGTTGGGTCTAGCGTATTGCATCCTCCGCTTCACAATACCCCATAGATTTTCTATGGGGTTAAGGTCAGGCGAGTTTGAGGGCCAATCAAGGACAGGGATACCATGGTCCTTGAACCAGGTGCTGGTGGTTTTGGCACTGTGTGCAGGTGCCAAGTCCTGTTGAAAGGTGAAGTCTGCATCCCCATAAAGTTGGTCAGCAGCAGGAAGCATGAAGTGCTCTAAAACTTCCTGGTAGACGGCTGCATTGACCCTGGACCTCAGGAAACAGAGTGGGCCAACACCGGCAGATGACATGGCACCCCACACCATCACTGACGGTGGAAACTTTACACTGGACCTCATGCAACGTGGATTCTGTGCTTCTCCGCTCTTCCTCCAGACTCTGGGTCCTTGATTTCCAAAGGAAATGCAGAACTTGCTTTCATCAGAAAACATAACTTTGGACCACTCAGCATCAGTCCAGTCCTTTTTGTCCTTGGCCCAGGCGAGACGCTTCTTGCGCTGTTTCTTGTTCAAGAGTGGCTTGACACACGGAATGCGACACCTGAATCCCATGTCTTTCATGAGTCTCCTCGTGGTGGTTCTTGAAGCGCTGACTCCAGCTGCAGTCCACTCTTTGTGGATCTCCCCCACATTTTTGAATGGGTTTGTCGTCACAATTCTCTGCAGGGTGCGGTTATCCCTAGAGCTTGTACACTTTTTTCTACCACATTTTTTCCGTCCCTTCGCCTGTCTGTTAATGTGCTTGGACACAGAGCTCTGCGAACAGCCAGCTTCTTTAGCAATCACCTTTTGTGTCTTGCCCTCCTTGTGCAAGGTGTCAATGATTGTCTTTTGGACAGCTGTTAAGTCAGAAGTCTTCCCCATGATTGTGGTGCCTTCAAAACAAGACTGAGGGACCTTTTAAAGGCCTTTGCAGGTGTTTTGAGTAAATCAGCTGATTAGAGTGGCAGCAGGTGTCTTCTATATTCAGCCTTTTCAGAATATTCTAATTTTTTGAGATACCAAATTTGGAGTTTTCATTAGTTGTCACTTATGAATATCAAATTTAAATGTAATGAACATTGGAAATACATTGGTCTGTGTGCATTGCATGAATATAATGTACAAGTTTCACGTTTTGAATGGAATTACTGAAATATCTTCAACCTTTTGATGATATTCTAATTTACTGGCCAGCACCTGTAATGTCCTGAAATCCTGTCCTTAAAAGTTATGAACAGAATTGATGACAAAGGGCAACCTTGATGGAGTACAACTCTCACTGGAAATGAGATTGACTTACTGCCTAACCAAGCTCTAACACCTGTCATACAGGGGCCTAACTGCCTGTATCAAGTGGCTTGGTACTCTATACTATCAAAGTACCCCCCTTCTCCAATCCACAAAACACATATAGATTGGTTGGTTGGGCGAACTCCCATGCACCAGAGGTGTGACCAAGTCACTGCTTTGCAAGTCACAAGTAAGTCACAAGTAAGTCACAAGTCTTTCCAGTGAAGTCTCGATTCACGTCCAAGTCAAAGACAACCAAGTCCAAGTCGAGTCCAAAGTCAAAGATGTGGAAGTCCAAGTCAAGCCTAAGTCTTTAACTTTGAATTTTCAAGTCATAATCAAGTCATTTGTCAACTTTAATTTAATGGCAATGATAATAAATAAATAAATTCCAGAAATAAAGCTTCTTAAAGCTTCATTTATTTGCTCCAACAAGCAGAAAGTGCAACTGAAACTGTTTATAAACAAAGTGCTGCTGCATTTAGCAGAACAAGATCAAACCCAGAGCCAAGAATGATTTATGATTTTTGTCCATGTCGAGTGACTTTTGTGCTAAAATATCAAATATGCTCAAGTCATCATCAAGTCAACAGATGTAAATCGATTCAAGTCGCAAGTCATTGGCGTTCAAGTCCAAGTCAAGTCGTAAGTCTTTATACATTTTATCAAGTCACGTCAGAAGTCATTAAAATAAAGACTCGAGTCCACGCCTCTGCCATGCACCCTCCAGAAACCCCTCAAGAGTATAGAGCTGGTCCGGTGTTCCCCGGCCAGGACAAAAACTACATTGCTCCTTCTGACCCCAAGCTTCAACAAACTGACAGACCCTCCTCTCCAGAACCCTGGAATAGTCCTTACCAGGGAGGCTCAGGAGTGTGATCGCCTTTTAGTTGGAACACACCTTTTTAAGTGGAATTACTGAAATAAATTGAGTTTGCACCAGATTCAGATTTTTTGAGTTTCACCAAAATAAAAAGGTTAAAATGCAACACTAGCGGCTACTTTCAGACATTTATTTAGTCGAGTTGACTCATCTGGCTCTGTATATCCACTGAACACAGCTAAACTCCACTGCTGTAGATCAACTATATCTGTTTATAGTTTTATGGTCTTTGCACAATCTCAGCAGCTCTATTCTAGACATTTTCAGAATCAGCCATTTCCGGGCTCTGTCATTTTTATGTAAACAGGCTGTTGCTGGCCACGCTAATCCACATCCTGAGTTGCTGCCATGAGGTGAAGAACTTTAGGAGGGGCTCAGAAAACTTCTGAGTGCAGGGGCCTCCTTTGTTCTATGCTAAGTTCCCTTATTGTGATGTCACAAAAAGGGATATTTTCAAATGGCTTGTAGAAGCACCTGGTTTTTAATTATGTCCGGAGGTGTATAGAGTCAAAAAGGGAGATGTTCATAATACGTTGCCTTTATTCAAAATATTTATCATAATGTCTTATCTTTGGTTCTAAATCTGATTTTAGGTTACCATTAGGATCTCCTACTCACCCCAAAGTTAGTCAGCAGTGGTGTGTGAGTGTAGGTTAGCATGGTGTAGCTGGGGCACAGTGTCTGCATGTACACATCAGCAGCAAGGGCTGGGGCAGCAGGGTAGGCCAGAGTCTGAGCAGTGGGGTCCTGCTGGTTGTAGTCAGAAGGAGACCAGGCCATGACAGCAGGTTGCGGAGCAGCATTGGTGACAGAGGACATAGTTTTCCACCCAGCACACAGCAGCCCTTCATCACCAGCTGCAGCCAGCTCAGCTGAGGAACCAGCTGCAGCATCAGAGCCAAAACTTCCTGGGTATAAAACAGTGACGCATAGAAAACCTTCTTCCTTTCAGTTGATGTTTAATAAATGTTACACACTTACCTTGTGTAAATGATGACTGATTGTTATGAGCCTCCACATCCTAACAAAAAGACAGATTACTTTAACAACAGCCGGGTGTAATGACCTTTAATGACCGGGTGTAAGCAGCATATTTGAGTTTGTAATTACAGCCTGACAGTTTATAAGTGGCTCGTGTCCCATTAGCTCTAATGCAAATCCAGCAATAGACACAAGCCTCTGTTAATGTCTACATCCAACCGCTGAAATCATAGTTGAGTTTGTGACGTTTGCACAAAAGCAAAATATGTTTAATGTTCAAAAACAGACCGCTGTGTAAAATTATTTCATCATTTGGTCTCTGCTGACATGGAACTGACCGAAGATCATCTGGAGGTTTGTAAATGTAAACATTTGGTATTTAACCATTCCAAAAAGACCACAGTGGATTCATGTCTTCCTCAGCCTTTGATTCTCAACAAGCTGTAACCTGATCAAGTTTGTAAACTGATGTGTTTCTTGAAAGCAGCATAAGGTCAGTCTGCAGTCACAGGTAGATTAACTGTTCTCAGAAGCATTCTGTTTGATTTATTAGATAGCAGAAACAAGACAAAGCAAAAAAGCATCAACTGCTCCCACTTCTGAAGCTTGTAGTGTTGGGAAAGTTTGTTTTACAAATGAACTAGTTCAAAGTTCAGTTCACACATATTATAACAAACTAGTCCAGCTCATGGTTTTTAATTACAATTGTTAAAAAGCAGCTGAAAACTCACCTGTTCAAGCTGGCTTTTGAGTGATCTTCATCACCACCCCCTCCTTATTCTGCTCTTTCTACTTATTCCGCCCTCCCTGGGATCCACTGCTTTCCCTCTTTCCTATTCACTCCCTCTCTTTCTTTGCATTTTTAAATGACAATTGTCTATTTTTGAGACTGACTGAAAACAGTTGCCATAAAACATGTCCCCCTTGCCAGGTATGTTCACAGACCGGGGGGGGGGGGGGGGGGGGAGCATATGTGGTGTCAGGCACCTGACTGATGTTAGAAGAAGAGAGGTTAAAACTACAGCTTTGACAGGAGGTGAAGGGTTAAAGCACCACGCCAGTACAGGAAAGACAGGTTGCTTAACTTCTCAATCATCACTTTTACTTGAGATCTGAGGGAAGTTGGAGCTCTTTTGTGAGCAGCTGTTTTGTGAGATATGTGTGAATGTACAACAACCCATTCACTAGATCTGTGGAGTGTGTGTGCTTGTGGGGGAATAGGGGATAGGGGTGATTGAACTTATCAAAGCAAAAAAAAGCCATAATTGTTGCGGTTAAGTATCCGAACATGCTAATCAGATTTGTCTGTAAACTGGTTGAACTGAGACATGAGACTCTTCGTGCTCCCTAAACACATCTGGATGTGCACTGAGAATGAGTGCATTTCCTTTGTGCGTGAAAGGACACTTCAGATTGATGGAATGAAAACATAAATGAGGTTTGACTGTAGGCTTTCAAATACTCCACTAGAATTGAGAAACTGTTAGTTTTTTACTCTGGGAGATAAGAGACCAGAGTTTGTACTGGCCAGGACATGTCACACTTCACAAGAGGCTCAAGTGAAGATCTCTGAGGAAATAACTGTCAAAAAACAGACAAGAAAGAGGTTCAGCCCCAAGAATGTGGTGAGAACAAAGTGTTAGAGAAATTCACAATTCATTTAATACAAGCCCAAAAATCATTTGATGCTCTTAGCTTTGGTATTAGCAGCAAATCACGAACATCAATTAACTAACATATAGTTTTATTATATTGATGAATGAAATGAACGACTATTAACTACTATTATTGTTATTTATAAAGTCCAAGAAAAGACCTCTAAGTATGCCCTCAGTGACTCTTTAGGTTAATATCATAGAGGTGGTCCACACATACAAATACATTGTTGTCTGGCTTGATGACTCCCTCTTCGTCAAGCACCACATACACTGAAAAAAATATAAATACAAACAAAACACTTTTGTTTTCACTCCCATTTCTTATGAGCTGAACTCAAACTTCTGAAAGCTGGGCCGGTGAAAACTCCGCTGGTGATTGATTCAGCCCCGGGGGGTGAAAATACTATGGCGCCTAAAGGGTTAATGAAGGTGACCAATGTCCCAACCTCCTGGTTGATAGAGAAGGCCATCCCACTCGAGAATACAGTTCATAATGATGGGTCAGTGGTCTATGGTTAGTAATAAACCTCAGCGAGGCACAATAACCCACATCAATCTTACCAAGAAACTGTGCTGAGGCATTCATATAAAGGTCTCCATAATCCAGAATGGACAAAAATGTTGCAGTAACTAGGTTTATTTATTTATTTATTTATTTTGCCTCAAAAGATAAACTGTTAATTTAAAAAAAAAGAAACCCAGTCTGAGTTTGAGTTTCTTCACAAGACTATCTATGTGGGGCTTGAAGGAGAGGGAGCCGGAGCCAGACACCAAGGTATTTGTGTGTGTGGACCACCTCTATGATATTTATCTCGAGAGGGGTCAATGAGGGCATACTTAGAGGTCTTTTTTTAGAGTTTGAAAAACAACATTTGTTTAGCCTAGTCAGCATTGAGGACCAATTTTAACTGCAGAAGTGTTCACTTTTATTTTCTGTTCTCTTTAAATTGTCAATATACATGTTTGGTTACACATCCTGACATTCCTCCGTCCGTTTATTATGTTTAATGAATGTGTATGACTCTAATTTAAATGTGTTCTAAGAAATATATTTCTGGCTACATTTTCACTGGAAACAGGAAATATTAGAGTATTAATTTTACATCAGAGTGACTAAGATTTCAGCTGAGAAGGAGCATGGACTTCAGACAAAATGAAAGGTAAGACCATACAAGATTTTCAACCTTAATTACGACAGAGAGAGATCAGCCCCAAAAATAAATTAATTTAAAAAAGTCTAATTTGACCATACATGTTATTTTGTATTGTTGAGAAGTTTGGAATTGATTAAAGCATAGTTAAGATACTTAAAAGCAATAAAAGTAAAACATCAGATTCTATTTTGGGGTCAAAAATGTATATTCAAATGTTATACTCCAGAAGTGCCTCACCAAGTCGCTGTCCAACCCAAACCCATCCTGAACACGAAGCAGGAACTGATTGCTTTTAAATGGCCCTGCAGGATGTTTCTGTCAGACACCAGCAGGCTTTTACTTAATGTCAATGGATGTTCTAAGCAAAAATAACTTCAGAGGTTTGAAGAAAATTTCAGATGTGTGATCTCAGATGTGACTTAACAAATGTAAAAATTGCTCTCACGGGGTTGGGTTTCATCATTTCAGTATTCAACTGAATTTTCAGGAACAACAAAAAGTAAAGGAACCCCAATCCTTCAAGACATTTCAAAACACTTTCTTTTTCCACAGGAATGTTAGCTATCAGAGAATTCCATGTATCATCAGACAGAAATCATATCCACGTGTAGATAGTTCCTGTTATTTATTTTTGTTTGGTTTCTTTTCTTCTTTCTTTATTTATTTTTTTGTCTTCACATTGCATGTATGATGCACATGTGTGCTGTGTTGTAAGTGTAATAAATAGCAAGTGGGAGGGTTCATTGGCAAGACTGCAAGTTAATTTGCATAGGGCTGCATGCCCAGCCCTGGAGCCACGCAGAGAGAGAGGGTTCAACTGTAATGGAAAAACACCTGGATTATATAAGGATCAAACCCCCTCTTCACTCTCGAGTGCTGCCTCCCAAAGGCTTATTTGCACAAAGAGGTATTTTCTTTTATCCCTCAAATATCTTGTTTAATTTCATGAAAGTGTATCAGTAATAATAATGTTTTTCTAGTCTTTCGGAGCTAGAGTGGGTTGTTTAAATGCCCACACATACATTTCTCTTCAGTTTTAATAAAGGTTCTCTGGAATCTGCTTTGTTTACGAAATGGGTGAATAAGTCAAATGTTGGTCAAAGACATGGGAAGCATTTGTGAGAAAAGTTCCCCACTTCAGAAAATGTGTTTTATCACAATAAAAAGGAAAACTTAGATAAAAGTTAAACAGAAAATGAACATGAGAGGCCATGTAAATCATATGTTCTCACCGCTGCAGGAGGTGTGTTCTTGGTGTTTTGGAGCTCCAGACTCCTCTTCCTCCTGAGCAGCTCTTTCACAGGATCTCGGACTCGGACTCCTTGGTAAGGTCTAGACCTGCCCAGTTCTGATGGAGATGCTAAAAAAAACAGACCCATCAAAAAGGAAGGGAGAAAGAAAAGAGAAGAAAAATAAAACCAATCTCCACGCACATATCCACGCATTATGGATGTTTGATATCTGCTTTTTACTGATATCCAATAAACCAATATAGTCTCACTGTCACGGTACGGTGTGGGTGGAGGCGGACCATGTGTGGTGGAGCTGGACCAGGAGGCAGAAATGCAGCTCAGGTAAAAATAAAACGGATTTAATGAGTACTGGCAGATAGGATACAGCAGGAGCAACGTAACAGGGTGGAGACACAACAATGATCCGACAGGGGACAAGTGCAGAACAGGGGGTATAAATACACAAGGATAATCAGGAACACATGGGTAGGATAACAAGGGGCAGGTGAGTACAATAAGCAACTAATTAGGGGTAGACGGGACCAAGAGTCAGAGGGGTCGGAGCAGATCCTGACACTAATTCTTATTTCTGATACCAACATTCACCAATACCAATTTATGCGGAGTCAGACTCACATAAATAATTAAGCAATACTAAAGCATTCTAAGTTACTAACATCAGATTGTACTTATCTTTGCAAAATATAACAACTTTAATTTTAGTTAGGCTATGTAAAAAGTAGTACATTTCTTTTGTCTCCAGCAACAGCTGAATCACAGGGTTTAAGCCTGACAAATGCCTTCCACAAAGGGCAAATATTTCCTTCTTCATAAGGTCTGCCAAACAAGCAATAATATCTCTAAAATGAGGGCATAGTCAAGATGATGGCAGAGTATGTTTCGGGGGCTCTGAGCATCATATTTCGTTCAAAAGTGTTTATGTAAATTTTGTGATGAAACTCAATACCTGGGCTTTCCAGTGGAACTGGCTCGTTTTATTGACTTTGAGAGTTTTAAGATATAGCAGCAAACTTCAAGGAAAGCAAAAATCCCCATGCTATGAGATAAATGAACCTACTTTTCTCAATCAAACCAGCAAAAGATGTGTTCCCCAACCCTGCTCCTCAGAGCCACTATCCTACATGTTTTCCATGTGTCTGCTTCAGCACACCTGACTTATGTATTTCCATTGCCTCTTCAGGAGGACATCAAGTGCTGCAGATGACTGCTAATCACTCATTTGTTTAAGTCAGGTGTGTGGCAGCAGGGAAGTACTGGTGTTTGAAAGGGCAGAATGGGAATCATGCGGGACAGTGTGCCCTGACGACTATCCAGTCCCATCCAACCATTGGCCAATAACCTGTCTCTCCACAGGAAGCTCATTTCAGGCATCATAACAACTAAGGTAAGTGGAAACTAGAACAATAATCAGCACAGCACAGAAGGTCATGGCCAGAGAAAACTGAGGAGCAAAACAACAACTGCTGATAGACCGAATAGTCGCCCAAGACTGCAAACCCTGACACGCCAACCTGTGTATGGCCTGGATAGAGTACAAGAAAGCTTATGACTCAATGTAGAACTCATGGATGATTCAAAGCTTGGAGATGTACAACATCAAGAGGAGTCTGGGACTGCAAACTCAATGGGGCTTGGGAAAACCACCCTTTAGGCCAATTGCCAGCCAATCACACAAGGTTGCATCAAATTAAAGTCATCCATCCTAACTGCTTGCCTCAGACTTTCTGCCTCTCTGTCCTGTTTGCTCCGGTGAAAAGACACCCAAAACCACACCCCCCTTCACGTGGTCACACACGCACACAAGTTCGATGTGTGTGTATGTGTGTGCGTGTTCGTTTGGTTTTTCTGCAGTGTCTGTTTAAGAACACATTTGACTATTGCGGAATTTTATTTTGAAATGCTTTATTTTGTTAACTTTACCGGCCTGCCTCTTATGTCTACGTTTGACTTCCTGCCAGAATTCACGCGATTCACCCGCGGCTCGCGAAAAAAAATAGAGCCAACGCTGAAATGATCGCTGCACGGCGCGGGCTGGAGCGCCGGCGCGAGGCGATTCGTGGCGCTTCGGCGGCCCATGTGGTCTATAGAATAGCTTAACAAGGGCGCCGAATGAAGGCGGTCCTATTTTCGCGGCGCTTCCGCGGCCAGTGTGTCCCCGGCGTGATGCCCCCCTGGTTCAAGTACCTACAAACCCAGCCTTGATTTGAACATTAACTCACATATCGGACTTGGACCCTGCCAAACCAACCACATACCTGTCATTATCAGCAGAGAGCGACCAATCAATCGTAAATCTAGCAAACCCAACTTCAATAACCTTAAACAGCAACCAAACACCTCAAGTTCAATAAATCACACAGCCACTCTACCTCCAGCATCTGTCAATATGACTCTTTTTAATGTTCGCTGTCTGTAATGTACTGCAGCCGCTTTTAGCATTCTTCAGATTTTATGTGTCACTGTTTACAGGCCTTCTAAATAGAGTGCACCTTTTATTCAAGAGTTTTTATCAGTTTTACCCAACTCCTTTGATGGGATTATTTTAGCTGGAGATTTTAATCTGCACATGTATAACCTTTTAGACCCTTTAGCCACAGATTTTTTTAAACTTCTTGAATTACCATATTTTCCAGACTATAAGCCGCTACTTTTTCCCACGCTTTGAACCATGCAGCTTATAATGAGGTGCAGCTTTAGTCAACCAGAAAGGATGGATGCTGGAAAGTCTAATGAAGGAATGGTTAAAGGAGTGCTACGGAAATCGCACAGGAGGGTTTTTTTCACAGTAAAACAGCAATGCTTGTTTTCCCAGCTTCACCCTGGGATGATGAAAGTAACACAGACATCGACACAGAAAAGGTATGTGACAAAGCTCTTGTGAGGCTGTTCAACTCCGACACTGAAGAAGATAACTTCAGTGGTTTCAGTGCGCAGGAGGACGATGAATAAACTAATCAATAACTTTTCTGTTTTGTTTGATACTGATCAGTTCAGTTACATTCAGTTAAACTACGTTTTCAATTCAATAGATATCTGCAGCTTTTAGCTTGGTGCGGCTTATATTGAGGTGTGCTCTATAGTCCGGAAATTACGGTATATGGATTTTACCCAACATGTCACGCAGCCAACTCACGACAGAGGACACACCCTGGACCTGGTCATCACGTATGTGTCCACTGGTGTGTCCTCTGTTGTCGACTTGGCAGTATCCAATCACTATTGCGTATTTTTTAACATCACCAGCGTTATCCAGTGGGGGCCCTCTGTGAGAACTGTAAAGAAGCGTCATCTAAGCCCTGACATGGCTGCTGGTTTTCTTGAAGCTTTTAACAATATCCCTCCAACTAACGTCTCCGCCCCTGGTGATGCCATTATCAATGATTTTAACAGAAGACTTGAGTCAGCTCTTAACTTGCTTGCTCCACTCAAAACCAAAAACTTACAGTCAAATCATACATCACCTTGGAGAAATGAAACCCAAAAAAACTAAAGAGAAATTGCAGAGTGGCGGAGAGGAGATGAAGGAAAAACAAATTAACAATAAACCATCAGATATATTCAGAACTACTTAAAACATGCAAAAATGCCGTAAGAAATTCAAGAAACGCATACTTTGCCAAAATTCTCTCAGACAATAAAAATAACCCTAAAATTATTTTCTCCAAAATTAATATTCTCAACTCCAACTTAAATTCAACTCATAAAACCCCCTCAAACCCCCTCTGTGAGGAGTTTGCAGCCCACTTTAGAGGGAAGGTAGACACCATCAGATGCAACATTTTACCCTCCCAACGTAACATGGTTTTAGACACATCTGAGAGTGTGTGTCTACCTGAGGAAACACTGGACAGTTTTGTTCTGGTTGAAGCTGAGAGTCTTGATAAAGTTTTCTCCTCAGTGAGGCCCACCACATGTGTCGTGGACCCTATTCCCACTGTTATTTTTAAACAATTTTATGATTCTTTTAGAGATGAGGTTTTAACTATGATGAATTGCTCCCTTCAGACGGGGGGTCTTTCCTGCCGCTTTTAAATGGGCGGTGGTGAGGCCCCTGCTGAAGAAAAGCAATTTAGATTTTAATGACTGAAACAATTATCGACCGGTATCCAACTTACCATTTTTAAGGAAAATTTTAGAAAAACTTGTTTTAATTCAACTTAATGATTTTATCAACACCCATAATGTCTTTGAAAAATTTCAGTCTGGTTTTAGGGTGAACCACAGCACCGAGACGGCCCTTCTGAAGATTTTAAATGATTTTAGTGTAAATTATGATGCCTGGAGGGTGACTGTGTTGGTTCTACTGGATCTAAGTGCTGCCTTTGATACAGTAGACCACACTATTCTTTTAACTCGTTTGAAATGGATCGGCCTCTCGTGCTGTTCACCAATGGTTCACTTTCTACCTCACAGACAGGACTTTTATGGTGAGTCTGGACACCTGTTCCTCTAGGGCTCATGGGATTACATGTGGTGTGCCCCAGGGTTCAATTTTAGGCCCAGTGCTTTTTAACCTTTATATGCTCCCTCTTGGCAGTGTCATCAGGAGACAAGGGGTGAATTTCCACAGTTACGCTGATGATACACAGCTGTGCATCTCTGTGTCCCCTGATGACACACAGTCAATGGATGCACTGTTTAACTGCATTTTAGACATCAAATCCTGGATGGCAGAAAACTTTCTCCAGCTCAGCCAGGACAAAACTGAAGCTTTAGTTATCGGTCCTGAGGCCCAGAGAGAGAAGCTTTTACCAAAATTCCAATCACTATCTTTTAATCCATCTTCACAAGTGAAGAACCTGAGTGTCACGTTTTACTCTTAGCCTAATTTTATCCATCATATTAAAATATCACCAAGATAGGTTTTTATCATCTAAAGAACATCGCCAGAGTCCGCCCCATTCTCTTTCGAGCCCATACGGAGATGCGGATGCATGTTTTTATCACCAGTAGCATAGACTACTGCAATGCCCTGCTTTCTGGTCTTCCTAAAAAGAGGATTTCAGGTCTACAACTATTACAAAACTCAGTAGTGCCTGTCCTGACGAAGACCAGGTGGCGGGAGCACATCACTCCAGTTTTAGAACGACTGCATTGACTCCCCGTATGTTTAAGTATCGATTTTAAAATACTTTTAATGGTTTTTAAGTGTCTTAATGGTCTTGGGCCTTCTCATCTTTCAGAGCTGCTTTTACCGTATAAACCCACGCTGTCTCTGCGCTCCTCTGGCAGCCGTGTCCTTGTCATCCCTAAAGTCAGGACTCATATTCACGGCGAGGCGTCCTTCCAGTACTACGGTCCTCGCTTCTGGAACAAGCTGCCAGGGGACCTCAGGGCCGCAGAGAACGTTCATGTTTTTAGAAACAGGCTCAAAACCCTTCTTTTTAGCTTAGCTTTTAACTGACTACAATCACTTTTTGAATAAATTAGAAAATTAATTAGGTTATCTAGTTGTAACGTCACGAAATGAACCGATTTTAAAGATCCCACAGGTCTTATGCAGCCAGAGCAAATAACCCTGGCTACTACATGTTCTGCTGTATCTTCCCTTGTCAGGAGTCTGTGAGTCTGCACAACTCAGCATTTTAATCAGATGACTTCATCACAGACAGGACTTTTAGGGTGGGTCTGGACACCTGTTCAAATACGACCTTTCTGTGCCAAAGGTCGTATTTGCCCGGCTGGGTCAAAGCTGGGCCATGCAGCACCTTCACCCACAGATTAAGACCTAAGCCGCCAGCAAGTCTGAAGGACTCCACAACATCCAACACCTGCATCTCCAGAAGAAGGACTTCACACACAGCCTAGTCATAATAAAACGGAGTCTTAAGCTTTCTTTGTGTATTAATGTTAAATAATCATTTGATCACTTTGCTCATTATAAATGTATTTTAATCAAATGAATGATTATTATGCTTTGGGTAATCATAATGAACTATAATGAATCAGTATACTTAATTAAATAATGTTTTTGAAGATGTTTAGCAATGACCTTCACACCTGCTCATACAGGTCCAGATCCACAGTAACTTCAAAACACATTTGCTCTGACGCACAAGTTTGCTTTGGGAAGAGAAGAGGTTTCGGTAAGGAGTCAGTAAGTTTGGATGAGAGCAGGAGTGCGGAACGAACGCCACGGGGAAAGGAGCCCGGCAGGCTCCTTTTCTCCCACCACGCTATTTCTGTCAAGCCAGACAGAATAGCTGAATGCAACCCGCTAACGCAGACTCGTCCCAGAGTCTTTTGATTTCTGAGTTCATTTAAACATGAGAAAGCGCATCTGCGGAAACGCTTCAGCAACGTGTACCGAGGTCAACTCTGGACTGGACCGTCGCACACCTTCATCTTCTCTGTCAGCCAAGGTGTGACCTGGATAAACATCCTCCTTCGAGGTCCGGATCTAAAAGAGGGTCCTAAGTGTGGTGAGGCAGAACACGACCAGATAGCGTTCTGATGCTGTTTTTCTAATCAGAACTAAAGTTTAATTGCAAAACATCATTTTTCACTCAGTTCACCTTCCCTCTCCCTGAAGCAATCTCAGACACCTGCATGCACGCATTCATAATTCCATCATCCTCAATCTTAGCACATTCAACACAAGGTCTATTTGAGCAAGCTTAAAATATCAACTGTGAAAGATTGTCCAAAAAGGTTGCCAATGTTGATTGTTTTTCCTATGATTGTCATTTCAAATCGTTAGTTTAAATTGAAGAATTAAATCTCTTAAAATTTAAACTTGTCTTTTCATTGAAGTGAAACACAGACAAACGGATATGATCGTCAGTTTATCGATGAAAACAACCTTTGAGTCTTCTTATCTCTATAACATTTGGTTATTAATTTGTTAAAATTAATATTCCAGATTATTATGTAGAATGGTTCATCTTTCATAAAAGAGCCAAGAACCATTACGCTACATATATGTATATATATATATATATAATTGGTTGAAATATGACATGGTGGCTGGTGGAGTTGGGTTCCGACTTTCGGTATGGTCTCCCTCCCCTCAGCGGCAGCTCGGCGCATCTCTGACCGCAGCGGTGCCTGTCTGCTGCGTGGGCTGTCCGCTTGTGGAGCTCTCGGAAGACCTCTGTGTTCCACCCAGCGGTCAGCCCGGCGTATCTCTGACTCAGCAGTTCCGATGTTGAGCTCAGTTAACTCCGGTTGTAGCTAGGTAGCTAACTACGTTAGCTTAGCTCCCACCTCCGCATTACCTTTGGGTTAGCTTGTAGCTACATCGCTTCAGTTCGACAGGTTTTGTCATTTGTTTCCAGCCTTACAGCCCCACCCTCAGCTCCACCTCTTTTCCCTTTTATGGAAATGTCTGGGCTTGGCAGAACCTGTGACACGGTCAAAATGGCGGTGGTGGTCACCTCCCATTTTGGCACAAAAACTTATAATTGGAGCAAATGGAAACAAATTGTCGATGGGCACAGCAAGGCTGGCACTGTGGAAAATGGCAAGTCAAGCAGCTGCTTCTGAGCCCAGAAGATGATATTATCCTTCTCAGAAGAGGATCGATCATACAAATCTAAAACCAGAGTGATTTTAGGTGAAGCCCAGAACAGATGGACACAAATAAAAAATGGCATGTATCGTCATCAAACCTGTTATCCCGACGACTAGAAACATTGTTCTATTGTTGCAACTACAACCTCCACAGACTAGATGATGCTTTGGTGTTCATGTTCCATGTTCAACCTTTAAGCAAATCTACACTATCAAGCTATAAAATTCTAAGAGTGTTAAATTAAATGTCAATTTTCCGTAAATTTCAAAATCTGGCAGAAACAAAGCAGCAAAACTTTTTAACACTTTAATTTATATACACATGATGCATAATGTACTGGTTCTGTCTTGTTGTGTGAACATAAACACACACATTCTTATCTAGCATTCATTGTAAAGACCGTCATTGACTTCCATTCATTTTAGTGACTGGATTGTACTTAACCCCAACCCTAACTCTAATCATAACCTGGTATATTCCTAACCCTAATCTGAACTAAAACTAAATTCACACCATATCTCTACAACTAATGAGTAGAGCTCTGTAACAAATGAGGACCAGCAAAATGTGTTCACTTTGCAACAAAGTTCCTCAGTTCGCAGGTCAAAGCTTGCCATCGGTCTTCACTTTGATGCATAGACAAGTACACACACACACACACACACACACACACACACACACACACACACACACACACACACACACACACACACACACACACACACACACACACACACACACACACACACACACACTTACATTCTGTTCAGTTGATGGACTTTACTCACTCCCACCCAGAAAAGACTGTGGGCTGCTAGCTAGCTAACCTTAAGAGTAGTGGTGCACCGATATGAAATTCTAGGGCCGATACCGAAATCCGATATTGATATCACTGTTATGACTGATAATCGATATTTGCCGATACCGATATGCTGACAATAATTCTTCAAAACTCAGCTATTTTGTATAAAATGAAAATTATTAAAGCTGAATTTGCATTATTATGTACACACACATTTATGTTTCTGAGATGATTTCATTCACTGTTCACATGACTAAACAATTACACACCACCCCCTCACCCTCTGAAACAGGCAAACAAATGGAGACAAGATGTAAAAAATATTGGTTGTTAATATCGGCCCGGTTTTATTTATCGAACCGATACCGATATGTTAAAAAATGACTAACATCGGCTGATACCGATATTGATGCCAACATATTGCCCATCCCTACATAAGAGGCTGGAAAACCCTTTCCTGGTCTGACGAGTCTGAATTTCAGCTGTAACATTCAGATGGTCGGGCCAGAATTTGGTGTCACCTGCAGAAAGCATTAACCCATTCTGCCTTGTATCAACGTTTCAGGCTGCTGTCGCTGCTGCTGATGTAATGATGAGGGG